TACTGTATGATTTCGAAGTCGCGTCAATGCGCTCATGGATTTACACTACATCGTAGTTTGTATACAGTTTTAAACAATTTTCTTGGCATAGAAATAAAAATTTTTATTCCCGTTGCTACGCTTTCTCTGCGAAAACAACGAGCTTTAGAGCAAACGTTTTGTATCCACTGTTACATATCAGTGCTCTTCACTTATCTGCATCTGAGTATCAAATGGATGTTGGTGAGAAAGCAGTATACAATTTGCCATTGTCGCTACTGGAAAATTTTATCAATGTTAAATATCAAACGCAAGCAAAATGCGGTCCGGAAGCCAGCATGAAGCTAGTACAGCAGTATGGAGGTAAATTTTTTCTCGATGCACCGGTAAAATGCGCTTTAGTAATTCAAAATTTATAGGGCATTCAAGATCCTATTTATTCTAGAAGCAGCGTATGTTCTTGTTTTTATGGATTGGTCCGGGAAATCGATTCCTAAACCACCAGCGAAATTCTTCACAGTAAAGGTAATACCGTACTGTGCAGTCGCAAATCAACTAGGAAAAGGTGGTAATGGAACCGAAGTTGATAACATACAACATGTCAAAGCGGAAATGCCGGAATATGAAACTGATCGCGAGAAAATGGCCTGGATTGTTGCGGTTAGTTAATTTATCGCGTTAAGCGATTCCGGGTTTTAAACAATTTCTAAGGTAATTGTCAGCTAACAAGATTCAAATTCACTGGGACAAAAGTAGGGGATAAGGGATCAGTCTAAGTATCATATGCAAGAAAAAATGTTACGATTCAATTAGTGTTTCATTCCTTAACTGTAAAAACAGACCGAACGCAGCGCGCGTGTAGGCGTGTGGATTATCGGTATAGGTTCCTGCCGACCAGATATACCATGAGTTTCAAAAAGCATAGAAGCACTGTAGAACGAAGACGAATACGAGGAAAGGAAGTGAAGAGGGAGGAGCAGAAGGACGAGGACTTATTTTTAAACACCCAGCGATGCGACTAAGTTTTCGATTTCGTCGTCTTCAGAACATCATCTTTACCAGGAAGAGTTCT